CCACCACGGTGGGTGCGCTTCCGAGGCAGGCCTCGACCAATCAAAAGCTCTTTCAGTCGACACACGAGGTCAGCGGTCAGATGCGTACGCTTGGCATTCATTGACAAAAGACGATCACGTGTGTATGCAAGCACAGGTCGGTTACCGCCGTGGGGACTGCGTGTGTCACTGACCGTAACGTCGACTTGACCGTGCGATGAGCGTGGTGCCGACAAAGATGGCCGACCGTGTAGGCGGTGAATCTCACTAACCTTTGCAACAAAGAAAATCCAAAACAACAAAAGTCCAAAGTTAGGAGGGACACAAAACATATCCGAATCAAAGTAGTGGTCCATGGTGGATATCCAGTACAGAAAAAACAATACAAAAATCAGTCAAACACACATAAAATTGCATTCAATCAGGAGCCCGAGTCTATACGTGCCTGCAAGGCGTAGCCTCGTTCTCAGCTAACACACATCCCTTTTATAATACCACACAAACAACTCAGCATACACTAACGTTCCACACCACGGACTAACTTCACGCTCTGACCTCACGATCAACAACTCACAAAACACTTTCACGATTCACGACTCCCCCTACCCAACACTCACGACTCCACTACACAACATTCACAATAAACTAGCTCACAACAATGACATTGCAATTGAATTTTTTTAATGGTTTTTTTTGTGCCCCAAATCTAATTGGGTTAATTGCACAAAATAAAATCATGTGCACTGTGCAGTATTTAATATATATATATAAATATCTTATCATCTTAACCGTAGCATCTTAAAATTATTCTAGCATACAAAAATTACCGCACTTTAGTATACAAGAAAATTGAGTAAATAATATCAAAGTCTGTATTATACTTTAAATAAGTAGTGTTATTTATTGGTTTCACTATATTTATTACATTAGTAAATACATTATAAGAAACATAATAAAGTTGTGCGATTTAACTAATCATTATCCCATACACTTATAATTTTTTAGCTAGACGCCATGATGACTCACCTTGACCTTGATAACTCCCTGGACATGCTTATGATTGGTCGAACAGGTGATGGGAAAAGTGCCACGGGTAACACGATACTTGGAAGGAATACATTTGAGGCTTCAGTCAATACTTCTTCTAAGACTTTTAAAGCACAATCTGACTACTCTGAATTTCAGGGCCGCATTCTTAAGGTGGTGGACTGTCCAGGCCTCGGTGACACGAAGTTAGGCCCAGAAGATGACGTCAAACAATTGGTGACGGCTATCAATACGGCCATAGCCGAGAACCCAAAAGGTTATCATGCCATCCTTTACGTGGTCCGGGTTGGGAGACGATTCTGCAAAGAAGACAGCCAGACAATGCAGATTCTAAAAACGGTTTTAGGGGAGGATTTTATAAAAAAACACACAATTCTTCTGTTTTCAGGCGGGGATGATTTTGAGACAAATCCAGAGATTAAGCAAAAAAGCCTTTCTTTTGATGATTGGATCAAGATTCAAGATAATCAACATTTCAAAGAGCTTGTTGGTGAATGTCAGAGACGGGTCATACTTTTTGACAATAGAACAAGTGATTTAAAGAAACAGGCAGCTCAGAAAGAGAAACTGGTTGGAATGATTAACAGCCTGGCAACTAAAGGGAAGCGGTACACAAATGAAAACTTTGAAAAAGCCGAAAAGAAGCGCCAAGATTTGCTAGCAAAGTTAGGGAAGGAGCAGGAGAAGCAGAATGTCATCGACAAGATTGGAATTTTAACTGCCCAGGTCAAGAATGTTACTTTAAATAATACAGGAGCTGAAGCATTACAAGAAATATCCACAGAGATTGAAGCTTTGCTGAAGGCTTCAACTGAGGGCGCAAAGAAAAACTCAAAACTGAAAGATACTTTCAAATTATTCAAGGCCATCCAGCAGGCGGTGGACGCCAAGAAAATAGAGATAGAGAAAAATCGAAATATTCAAGATAAGAGAGAGCAATGGGAGGAAGATAAATTGAAGCTTGAGCACCTTAGAACAAAGGAACAGTTGGGGAAAACATCGGGGGAACTTGATGAAGTTAAAAGACGAATTCAAGAGCAAGAACAGGCGCTCAAGAAAAGAGAAGAGGAAATTCGAAAACTTGAAGAGGAAAATAAAAGGTTACGTGAAAAGGAAGGCGCTGGGAAGATAATGGAAGATTTGGAAAAGACGTACTTTGAGGCTAAAAATAGCAAGGATTCGGCGAGCCTCATTACACCAATATTGGAGTATGCAGCCAGCTTAACCCCTGTAAAAGCTGCCTTAACTAGTGCATACAATTGGTGGATGGGAAAATGAATTCATTACAACTTTTTTTTTCAGATGCCCCATGTTGAGGGGCATGTAACCAATATTTTAAATGTTTTAAGCATTATTTTCCTCTTCACCTTTTAATGACCGTATGGGTGTGAATTATTTCCAGCTAATTTTAAAAGTTACTTTTGTTGTTTTTTTCTCTTTGTTGGTATTGCTTAAATTGATTTAATAATTTTATTTGTGTTTACTTAAAAATATTCTTTTTTTCTTAAAATGTAAACTATGGTACGGCTTTATTTTGTTTTGGATGAAGAGGAAAATCCGATAAAATATAAAGTGAGTACAATTGTTACATGGAAAAATATGAATTAATTAGAAACGGATGTCATTTTTAAAAACTAATATAATGGTAATTTGTGTGTTATGTGCTTGAACATTATATATGTGGCTTTTGTGCCAAAAACACATACAAATATAGTTTTTTCTATGAATGGCCTAATTACAAAATAGCGAAATTGAGTGAGATTTTAAAGAACGTTTTATGAATAGACAGTTTATTAAAATTGATTCTTTTTTTGAATAGAAGAAGACTACAATAATAAGAGCGTGCTCAATCAGTAACATCAATGTCCATATTAACAATAATAACATAAAATGCTCTATAATAATCATAGTAATGATAATAATTATCCATTTTGTATCCTTAATATGATTACTTTTAGGTAAAGACAAACTATTTAAATATGTATACACCTAATATACTTCATGAAATGTATAATCTACATTACTTTTGTATGCAGACAATATCTGATAAAACTTTACTTTTTGAAGAAAATATGTGCTTAGCTTAAAATAGCGACAATACCAGTAACAATTAAATATATTTACGAACGTAGTTTTGACCTATTCACAAATTATGTAGGTGTGTTATAGTATTTTTTTTTATTTAAAAAAAATGTTTAACAAAATGTAAACTGAAATTATTATTCAATTAAACAAATAAACTAAATTGACTTTTGATGTCAGTACATTTTTAAAATACATTTGATCATTGTGTTCATTGAAAAGTAGCAGTTATTTTGTTCCGTTTTATAATATGCTAAAACACGTTGCACTGTGCAAAGCAGGTAGTAATTGATGATCTAGGTCCTTACAGTTTACATTTATTATGAAGGCTTGCTTGTAATTGTTCCCATAATAAATGGCTTTTTAAACTGTCTTCCGTTTCCCCAATATTTCAAGCGATGACCGCATTCTGCCGCAGTGGGCATTCCTACAACCAGTTCTACTCGAACTTATAAATGGCAGTCCATCAAAACATGACAATGTAGGATTTTTACATTTAGCGGCTTTAAAAATGTTTCAAAATTTTATCAACATATAAATTATTTATTTGTTTATTTTTATGCCATAAAATAGGGTGGGAAGGAATTAACAAGAAGTACGAAGCAATAAAATATGACGACATTCAATTTTGTTGATAAAGAAACTGTTAAGTATTTGAACATTGTTAACATGGAATGAGAGGACTAAGGCTTACAATTTTGAACTTAATTAATTTCATATTTCCTTAAAAATGTATCATGCCTTCCTATATGAAGGATCAAACAACCTTAAAAAGCAAAGATCATAAGAATAAATGCCATTAAGCTGTCGCTGTATTGTCTTTTAACACACAAGAGCTAAAGCAGGTGTTGGTGGTGGTGAAGCGTTTTAATGACGGAAACATAGGACTTCAACACATGAACTCTAGGAGTAAATTTTAATTATTTTTAATAGTCTCTTGAAAATATCAATTAAACATATATTCAAATCATTTTGTCAGCTTTTATATTGACACTAAATTTATTTGAAAAAATAACATCTTATTAATTAAATATTGCATCCATGAGCATTACAAAGTAATATTTGCAGAGAAATGATGATAGTGTGCATAATATCTGCCAAATTTATGGAACGAAAAGAAGCTAAGCTAAGACCGAGGTCATGTAAGTAGGGCGTAGCTATGAAAACCTAAACATGTTATCCGTGGTCAGGTGCTCGGTCAAGGCGATGAGTTTAAAGATCTGGTCAAAATTTTCGGATCAGTTGATAGCTACCTAAGAGAACCGATGGAGACCAAAGCCAAAACTAAATAAAAGTGAATTTTTTTCCAGCTCTTACTTCATAGTGGCAGACGTGCGCTTTAAATAAAAGGCTCGATATGACAATATTCACATCCGATATGAGATGTTTATGGCTTACATAAGGATTCAGTGTATAGGACAGATGGTTTGTGTCACCCCAATCAGCAAGTGTACAGGGTTAAGACAAATGAATAGGCCCGGCAAACAAATTAAGAAAGCCTGCCGAACAATCTGCATCGCAAGCTTACAATTACAGGCACATAGAAAGACCATTCCATTGGTGGATTTTCTTCCTTAAAATGGTTTGAGTCTCAAAAATGTCATACACCTGTGAGCTTAAGCTAATCATAATTTTTTTTTTAAGAATGCAAGATTATCCTTAACGCGAATCCAGAACATAATAGTGTACACGTATAGAGGTCCTTGCTTCACACTTGTCATTTATTTCCTTCTTGACAAAATTGTCTAATCTCTACACACTGACAACACCCGACAGTAAACTCAAACAAAAGACACTTTAAAAAAGTTAATGTTCACTTGATCTTATTTTAAGGATACGTTTCTCGTACTGCCTGCCCAAACAATTAAACTGTTATACTGGGGCCAGACATGTCCCAACGTACATGGATTGACATTATATTAACACGTGGCTTGCAGTAACTCAGTTTAGCCAACAGTGACCAGTGCTATAGAAATCGACACATTGTCTTCATCTTCCATGAATATATTATAAGTTTTTTTCACCCATAGATTAATCTAAGGATTTGTTTAATTTTTGTTAGCAGTCAGGTTCTGGTTCTGGTAGTGTTTCATTGCTGCATCCATGTACTGCCATCTTTGCAACGGTTGGGGGTTTGATGTTGATATTTAACAGCTTCTAGCTGATGCAAGGGCAGCCTTGAAATTTCAACCGATGTCGAGTTCACAGTGGCGTTGTCCACACTATTATTGTGCGTGGGAAGAAAGATTATTGATACTGCACTGTATTGCACTGAGGTACTTTGAAGCATTTGCTATTGTTTCTGGTGTATATGTTTATGAGAATATCAGTGGTGAAGTCGGTTTTCACTGAGCGATTTGCTCTAATCAGTCTACCCTGCTTCTGATGGGTGGGGTACGTGTCTGCTGGGATGGCCGGCACCAGTCCCATGATCACTTTATATAAGAATAAAGTCTTTGATCGATGGATTCTATTCCCACCTAACTTTTTTATACGAATGTTAAAAAAAAAAAAACAAGTATGTTCCCACCAAAAGTGTTAAACTACAGATCACCATCCGTAATAACTGATTTTGATCAGCATCAACACATAAAAAACAAACAAGGCAATATGCTTGGACTTTGGAAAGTAGTTTGGAGCACTGGAGCAACGTCATTGCTCACGAAGCTGGAGCGAAGCTGGTCAAATTTGTTACTACTCTGAGCTCCAAATTATATTTTAACAAATAACTTAAATATATTTTTAATGAGTTAATAAAATGTATGCCTTATTCTACCGCTATGTTGTCCAACTCTCCTACCTGCTATGTTGTCCCTACTCTTTCACATGCGTTGTTGTTCCACTCCTCTACCTGCAATGTTGCCCCACTTTGCTGTCCCACTCTTGTATAAGCTATGATGTACTTCACTTCTACAAGGTTTGATACCTAATTCTTCTACATGCTATATTGTCTCAATCTTTTACCAGCTCTGTTTCCCCACTTTCTAACAGATATGTTGGCCTACTCTTTCGCCAGCTTCTTTTGATCCAATCTTCTATCAGATATGTTTTACCACTCTTCTTCCCTTCCAGAACTGTGTGCATACTCTTTTTCAATTATTTTACCAACATTTTATCAATAATGATTTCTCACCATTTACAACTATATTACCCCACTCTTGTACAAGCTATGATGCCAACTGTTTTAACAGCTATGTTTCCCCACTTTACTACCAGCATACTTTTCTACCAGTAATTTTACCCCACTCTTCTACAAATTATATTGCCACACGTTCTACCAACCATTTTGCCCTATTCCTCTACCAGCTATGTTACCCAATTTTTCTGCAAACTATATTGCCCCACTTTCTACAAGCTATATTGCCCCACTTTTCTACAGCTAAGTGGCTGGTATATGAAAGCCTCTTACCTAGTTAAAATGAAGGGCTTTTTACAATAATACATATACTTTTTAAACACTTATAACAACCCCTCGACCGCTCAATTTTTTTCAAATTATTGATGGAGCTCTGAGTAAAAAAAAAGTTTACCTCTGAAAATCTGGAGCGAAGGTCGGCTAAAAAAAACAAAAAACAAGCCTTTTTCTAATCCTTGCAACTTTACAACATTAATTTTTGTGACTAAAAAAAAACATATCCGTTTTTAACTGTGATAATTATGTTCTGTCTGATGACTTCGTATTTAACTTTTCGGTTGTAAAGAAATCATTTGTATTGTAAGTAGAAAAGGTCCATCTTCAACGGCACTCTAATATAGAGAAATATAAATCAGAGGCTTCATATTCATTTATACTTTTAATTTTAAAAAAAAACAGAACAAAATTCAATGTAGTTCATATGGCTGTACAGTTTTATTGATCCAACGGATTTTTTTTTTAAAAATCTTACAGCTATATAATGCAAATGAAACATAAGTGAGCACTTCAAACCATATAATTGGTATTATGATCATTTAAAACCAACGAAAAAAAATGTATCTATCTCGTGATAGCGGGATAAAGCTTTATATTAAAAAAAACACACAATCATTTTTTTTCTTATAAAGCGCTATCACATGTCATATGTTTATGATCATCGCTATCAATGACATAAGCCCCTTTTAAAAATTCATATCAATTCATTTCTCGAGTAACTAAAAGGCTTAACAAAGCATTTATGTTATAGTATGGTTATTAATATGGAGTAAAAAGTTGTTTTTTTCCTTTTACTTTAAAAGTATATTTACTGTTGTTAAACGGTAGCTATCATGTACTACAACTCTATCATTGAGAGTGTGCAGCAGGATGGCTCGCTGAGATCAAGAATCCTTTTGTAGATGGTAGCAGATGTTTCTAAGATCAGCAAACAGCAGAGACGGATAATAGTTTTATTTCATTTTGTAGTAGATACTTATGTTGTAAATTCAACAGTAACTGAAAAGTTTCATAACTGCTGATCAATGTTTACAAGAAAAAAAATATTCACTTGTTGAATTATAACGGTTTGATTTCTGTTGTTTAGTTGTCTGGAAATGATATATTATATTTAATCGTATCTCTGAATCATTCGATACAATTTATTGTTTATCGAAGTGAAAATAAAATGAATGATTTCTTTTCATATCTTGTTGTTAAGCCTTTCAAAGAAAATTTCGCGTATTTTTAAACATCCAAGTTAACATTGAGTTGTTTGGGTTTTTTTATTATTTGTTTTATTTTAATACAAGAACTCAATAACTACTTGACTTCATGACATAAAAAAAACAACTTAAATTTAAACATGAAAAAAAATGTACCATAGAACTTTGAATTAAATACCCAAACCATCATTTTGTTAGTGAGACATGGTTACTTGTAAGATTTCTGTTGTAATGTATTTAGAATATGAATTGTTAATCTTAGAATAAAAAAACAAAAAACAAATAATAATAAGCCTAGGGATTGAAATAAACTCAAATTAGTTCAAACTCTTGGTTCTAGTGCCAAGTAGCCGTCATGTGACATCAGATAAGCCGTGTAAGCGTCATCTGTTATTAAGGTTTCGTCGTTAAGTACAACAGTTTTAGTTCCGTCGCCTCCAATCAGTGAGTAGGACTCATGTTGATTTTCAAGTCCTTTCAATCCCAACAGGTGTCTTTTAACCTGTGGAAACAAACAAAGAAATATACTATAGCTTTATGTGAATTATTTTTCAACATTCATTTATTACAATTTAAATGGATTAATTAACTTTTTATTATTTCTTTTATTTTTTAGTTCTCTATTAGAGTTTTAAAAACAACGATGAATTATATGTAAATAAATGTCAAACCTTTGTATATTACGTTACTGTCACTAGCCCGTGATTTTTTCAACAATTCATGTAATATCAATTTGCCAAAAAAAGACAATTAAAGTTTAAAACAAATTCTATTATTTCGACATAAGTTTTTTAAAAGGCTTTCTTAAATACCTAAACCTATTCAGAAACCTCTAAAATAATGTATGTCTCTATTACTATTTACTTGATCTATGCTGTGAATGAACAATTTTGGGCCCCAATTCAGTGAGCTCCCTCCCCACACCCCTACCCCACACAATAAGTTGAGCGCCCTCTGTACACAAGATTTGTCGTCTCCATCCCTACTCATTGCCTTTGACTTCTCGGGCACAGACCCTCCCTCCAACGCCCTCTGGAATAAAATGCTGGCTAGGCCACTGATTTGTTTATACCGTAAACTACATAATGACCTGCTTAACTGTAAAGTCATCTCCGTGTATATTTGATACGTGTATAGTCGTCTTTTTTTTCTTGCTCTCTCCAGGGAAAATAACAGCCACGTCAACACCACAACGACCTGACTCTGTTTATCAATACAGACAGTTTGCATCATTTTGACATATTGTTGATTTACATATTACGTTTGCGTATGTTGGACACTGCAAGATGTATGTTACAGTAATATGATGTGAAAGGCATGACAAAATACAAAATTGAAAACTTATCGACTAGATGAAATATTTAAAAGTAAAAACTTTAACTTTAATATGAACAAAACAAACTCGTAATTCAAAATATGAAAACACATTTGGTGTTTGTTCAAAAGGTAAAAAGGAGATTGAAACAAAACAAAACCAGGAATCAAGGGTTTGTAGCTTTTATTGAAATGAAGGACATTTTTAACACTGATTTATGTAGCTTTTAAAAACATATTTTGTGTGCATTTAACCTTAAATAGATTAAAAAAATACCAGAAAACAGATCAGACATCAGCGTAACTATTTGTCTTAGCAGGATCCATTTCTTTGGTTACAAGCAGTAGTGCCATTACACTCTGACTACACTAGAGGTATGCTTTATTGAATAAAATGTAAGAGAAAAAAATAATAATTTTCATACAGTTGATTTCAGCAGCTAATTTAATAAAAAATATTTGCTCATTACTTTTCATCCATTACATATGATTTTTTTTCTTCTGGGTATAATTTGTTTGTGTGTGTGTGTGTGTGCGTGCGTGCGTGCGTGCGTGAGTGAGTGGGTGGGTGTGTGTGTGCGTGCGTGCGTAGGTGCGTGCGTGCGTGCGTGCGTGGGTGCGTGCGTGAGTTGGTGCGTGTGTGTGTGTCTGTTTGTGTATGTGTGTGTGTTTGTTGCGTTGCATAACTGAAAATTTGGAAGACTCCACGCAAAACTACAATCAGATGTGTATATTTATTAAACATTTTCCAATGTTTGATCTACAGTTCCTACAGTGTGTGTGTGCGTGCGTGCGTGCGTGCGTGGGTGTGTGTGTGTGTGCATGCGTGCGTGGGTGCGTGCGTGCGTGCGTGAGTTGGTGCGTGCGGGTGTGTGATGTGTGTGTGTGTGCGTGTGTGTGTGTGTGGGTGTGTGTGTGTGTGTGTGCGTGCGTGGGTGCGTGCGTGCGTGCGTGAGTTGGTGCGTGCGTGTGTGTGTGTGTGTCTGTTTGTGTGTGTGTGTGTTGCGTTGCATAACTGAAAATTTGGAAGACTCCACGCAAAACTACAATCAGATGTGTATATTTATTAAACATTTTCCAATGTTTGATCTACAGTTCCTACTCTGCAGAATCCTCCACAATTTTAGCTTTTATTTCTGCTTACCTCAACTTGTTTTTTTGAGCTAACACCTGTCCTTTCATGTTGTTGTATATTTCGGGGAGTGGGTCGCCACAACTTGGCAAATTTTTAAAAAAGACGTCGTGGCCTTAAAAGATTTATGAGCGGCTGTGGTATGGTTACATTTTGAAGCAATTAGTGTATGAAGCCTTTAACTTTGATGGATAATTTGTTAACGATACTGTTTCTATCAATGCGTTTTCACTACTACATATTGGTTGGAATATACTATAGGAAATGAGATGATACATTTTTTTAACACCCATACACGTACTTGGATCCTGGACTTGGATCCCCTAAGTATTGTCTCTAAACACTCGGAACTGAAATGGGTGTAAAATCGTGCATCCGGCTAAGACCTTGTTAAAATCTCGAATTATCGGTTAATAATGTAAGTTTAAATAGATATTGATCTAAACAGTACACATAATTATCAAATTATTTCCGTACAAATGGCTGTATTTATTGTAGTGTCATTATTTTTTACTCTCATTTTTATTTTCATTATTCATTGTCATTATTTTTTATGTCTACTTTTAAATTTGGATATAAATTAATAGAGTGACCATAAATTAAAGAAACTTCCTTACAAATGTTGAGTATTGTATATAATGTTTTTTTTTTCATCAGACTGGTGAGAGTTTACACTACTATACTTAAGCTTGGAAAGAAATTAATTTCTCTAATGTTGTGTAATAAGAAACTGAGAAACTGATGCTAATTATTTGTGACTCACTACCCCCTGACTCCCCTCCATCTAAAACATAAAAAAAATCCTAGCACATCTAATTTACCATCTTAAATAAAGAATAAAAGTATATATGAATCTCTAACGCCAACAAATATTTGATTAAAACAGTAAAAGATCTATTATACTGTATTTTTATTTTTTAAAATTAATCATTATTTAAAAAATAGAAATTTGTAAAATAAGTTTTTGTGTTATAATTTTAGACTGTTCTTCCTGTTAAGATGTGTTAGTGTTTGCTCCAATACTATACGTACCATAAGAAGCCATCTGTAATTAGATTTTAATTTTTTTTTTAATTATTAGTTCCTTATTTAGACTATATGAGAACATATTGTTATGTTTTAATTGTCAATTTTAATATTGATTTGCAAAAATCTAGAACTATATAGTTAGATTGTACCAATAAAAAAGCACTTTGTTCTTAAATACTTCTTAATATAAATTCAAAAGCAAGGTGGGCTTCATCAACTAAAAAATTTCAAATACTTATTTTTAGCTAACTATTTTTTAATAGTCGACATTTTGTCTACTTCTCAAATTTACATAAACAATAACAATAAATGAGGCATGAGTTAAAACATTTTTTTTAAATATAAAATTACCTACTTCTTTACTGGAATGCAGCTAGTTTTAATTATCAGAGGAATAAAAATAAAAGTAATATTGGAGTTTAGCTTTACCTCTGGGTATTCCCGATCTAATATATTCCTTAGTTTATGAATGCATAGACATAAACATAAAGTAAAGACGTACGTTTTTTTTTTAACCGTTCAAATTATGCGGAATAAATAATGTATGCTCCATGAAACTTTAAGAAACTGAAGTGTTTTTCAATATAGATTGTTTTTAAAAAGGCAGTGTCTACACGTCCGGCGCGCCGGACGTCTATCTCCCGCACTATGTGTCCGGCGACCAAGTCACATGACTGCCGTAACAAAGTGGCGAGAGATATCTTGTCGGTCAGCCTTGTCACGTGACTGCGAAAAATTCAAAACTATTGTTAATTTTAAAATCTATTTCTCTACCAAGTAATGTACTGAGTATCTTGAATGCAAATAATAGAAAAAAAAAACTTAAGTGAAAGTGGCTTGTAAACATTTTTGTTTAGTTTGTTATTTGAGTTTGTGTACCAGTAATCCATAAAATAAATTAGGGGCCAGTGTGGAGTAGGCGTAGGCAACCAATAAAAGTTAAAGTAAAAGATTTCATTTTAAATTATTTCAATTGCTACAAAATATTTAAAAACTTCTCATGAAACTACTGTTGCTGAGGAACATGATAATATAAATATATACAAAATACTTTAATTAAAATGGGAAGAAACAAAACGACCCTATCCCCGGTATAGATCCTCAAACCTTCCTATCGTCAAGCAACCATTCTAAACCATACTTCGTTTGGAATTATAAAAACTACTAGCCACCCGGCCATGTCTGGCGGTCACGCGACAAGCAGCCGGACGTATATCTTGCGCACTACACGTCCGGCGCGCCGGACGTGTAGACACTTCGTTTTAAAAATGTATATGTCAAATTATAACAGTTACTCAGTTACTTAGACTCTATCTCTATGTATTTTCCAAGTGGAATGAAACAATGACGTAGGATAAAGCCAATAAATGCTAGGCTAAGTCTAAAGTCTAAAGAAAAAAAATTTAGGGAACTAAAGTCTAATAATGTGATAGCTTTATCATTAACTGATAAGACCATGTGCAATGACATGTCCTAAGTTATTAACAACTATAAATCAAAATTTTTATTTTCTTAAATTGTGTTTTGATTGAAATTTATCTGAATTTTCAGTTCACTAATTATCCTAAAATTATACTTTTAAATACTTTGTTTAACTGGTTAAGAAACATCTGTTGCCTTGGATAGCGTTCACATTTTATTGTTTTAAGGTTGTATTTAAATATATTTGTACAATAATGTCGACGGAGGTTGAGTTTCGTTTAATAACTTTGACATAAAATGTTCTCAATTATGTTTTTTTTTAAATTTAAATACTTTATTAACATTTGATTGTCATTGTCTATGTGTAGGCCTACCCATGATTTCCTTGAATAAGAATTATTAGTTTAAAAGTTATGTTTAAAAATGTACATCAATATTGACAGATTATATATTATATTAATTTTTTTTTAGATTAGCATGATTTTTATTGTTGTATAATATTTGAATATTCTATTAAATTTAGATTGTCACTAGCTATATGTACTGAAAATTTCGTTGCAGTAGCCTTATTAGTTTAAAAGTTACACATTTAAATGTAAATATGACTGCAAATTTTTTTATATTTTTACATACATTTTTATGATCTGCATTTTATTTCTGTTAAATTCGTATTACTTTTAGATGGCCATGATCTGTTTGTTATATACAATTTGATAGCAATAAGTTTTTTTTTTTAGTAATTAGGCCTATGTAATTTTTTTTTTTTTATTAATTTTTTTCCTCATTTGTCATTATTCACCCCATATGCTCATAAAATCTTATTTTATAAAATTTAATAAATTTATTCACAATTCATGTGTTCTGTCTTGTTAAACATTGTATTGACATAATGTGAACTCCAAATTTGTGCACTCTAACTTTAAAGCCAAAAGGAAAAAGGCAAAATAATACAAAAAGAGTAATAATTAAATCACTGTTTTAAAAATTAAATACAAGCCAAATTATGGAGGGAAATTAATTACTAAACAATTCAAAATGTTATCCTATAAGTGATAGAAAGATTATGTTGCTGTCATTGGAAGCTTCAAGCATACTCTTTCCAACAATATGCACTTTATATACCAAATATTACAGATGTATTTGAGTTGGAGTACTTACCAACAAAAAAAAATTAAAAATATAAAAACCATTTGAAATTAGTTCTTGTTTCTTCTGTATTATTAATATTTAAAGTGCAACAGTGCAACAAAATTATTTTCAGAATCCTAATTTCTTTTATTTAAATTTTCAATAAATTCTACATAAAAATAAAAGAGAGTGAATGATAAAATGACTTTCTCATTGCATTTAATTATTAACCCCACAAATAATCAGGGAAATATCATCTATAATCCTGACTTAGTGGGCCTTGAAGCCCACCAATGGGAAAGGCACAATGCAACAATGAAATGCCGGATAGTTTTCCAAAAATTAAAATAGTTTATGCATTTAGTTGTCTCATCTTGTTACGAACCACAAACTGTTCTGGAGAAGGGACTTTTTCTGCTTTACTATTTAAAACTTAATTAAAAATATCAAGCGATCAGCTCTGAAAAACAAAAAGCTCAATCTTAGACATTAGTGCTTGTAGAAACTAATTTGTAGTCTAAAATTTTAATTTTAAGGATTTTGTGTATCAGTTTGTTGAAAGATTGACAAGGAAAATGTTGAATTAGCCACAAAGGTGGTTTACTTCATTTCTAATATTATTGTAATAAATTAATTAAGTCTTTCGAATGTATAGTGGGTTTTTTTTTCTTGCATCCATCTGTTACAAAATGAAAGTTGTGGAAATTTTGCAGGACAAAATCACATGGCCTGGATTTTTTTTCTTTAGAAGGATAAGCTGGTTCCCCATTTTGCAAATCATTTCTATTTACATCTCTGGATAACTCACTGGCAAACACGTGTCATAGATGTTCTTAGCATCAGCAGTGTTTAGGAAGTTGCTGTAATTTAAATTCAGAATTTTTCTTTATCTTTGATGCTTTGACTATTCAAGTTGGTGAGTCCAATCGACTTGGTATGTTGGTGGTGTTTTTTTTCTTGTTTGGGCTTTTGCTGGGGATTGAACTTAGTTTAGACTGCTGGACCCACCAGCAATAACTAGTGTCAAAATTAAATTAATCCATTAATTACTTCATCGGCATTGATTTTTAATTAAACTGTAGGAAAGAAAATGGCACAACTTGCAGGTTGATGTTGAGATAACAGACAAAGATTGCAGCCAAGGGCGTTGCCATGGATTTATATGACACTGTAAATGATTTAAAACATTGTTATTGTAGTTAAAAGAAAGAGTTTAAACATTAATTATGTTTGAAATATCATTAGAAGTTTGATATTTTTTAACTTTCTGATTTCTTTTAAAGGTCATATAAGAAAATAATAATTAAACAACATTCAATTTTTTATATTAAAAAAAAATATTAAAATTGCTAAAAATGTTGTTTATAAATATAATTATAAATGCATAAAAAATGCATCTAATATACCCAGTAAAATAACATAATAAAAACGTTTTCTTTATTACATACATACAAGTAAATATGAAGTACATACAAGTATTTTGTGAAATTTCAAATATTCATAATTAGGACAAATTTAAAATCTTATTATGTAACAAAGAAACCTCCGCCAAAAGATCATATTGTCCTCACTGAATTCCTGAGTTGGAAAGTGAGATAGCCTGTGCTTGGTGACAGATACTTGAAGTGATTTGTAATTAAACTTTTATCACTCAGTATTTCATAGTTGATGTCATCTCCACCCAACATTACATATTGTTGATAATTCTGTATTTTCTTCAACAAAAGCAGCTGTCTTTTTACCTATATAACAAAAAGTATACATTTGTATTCTTTCTTTTAATACAATAATAATTTTTTTTTATTAGCTTTCAAAATTAATAGCATAATTATCATTTTTTGTAAAAAAAATATGGTTGCCATGAGTTGGCTCCATTACTTAAATTATTACTGTTATAAAATAGAGTTTTATTTGTCTTAGTTTTAAGAAAAGTCACCTCATTACTAATTATTAATTTTGGATTTAAATTACCAACTTTACAGGCTTTTTTTTTAATCAGTGTTTTTTTTTTTTGATACTTCAGAAACTTGTCAATTATTTACTTTTTAGGTAATCAAATAACTCATTTAATGCATAGCAATATTTTAAGCCACTCAATATTATCACCATAAATGTAGCCGAAAACATGAAATTTTACACAGTCATAATAAAATGAAGAAATTTCATTGTCAATATATAGGTCAGAAGAAATTATTGACACATTTTTTTAAGGCTAAAAAGTCTATTTTTTGGCCCTTAATATCAACATTTTATTGCATATTTTATGAATATACATACATGTATTATACACATTTTTCTTAAATTTTCCATGCATTATCCTATGAAAGATATTAATATTACTGTAGTTTTGAATCAATGTTACCTCCGCCACTGAAAGATCATCACCATTCACATCAGTGATATTTACTACCACAAGATGCTTTTGTACCTCTTGGGGAAAAATAACATATACTTCAATACCATCAGCGTCAGCTTCTGTCAAATGAGAGATATCATTTCATATGATTAAATGCAAGTAGAATTTTATAAAAGTCTAAATTATTTGTTTGTCTTTTTAAAAACAAATTAAAATTCAATATATGATATAGCCTATATATATCTTAAATTATAAGACAGACATTTCTTTATTATAATATTATTTTAACAGATAACAAATCATAACTACATTTCTTTATTATAATATTATTTAAACAGATAACAAACTCTAAATATAGTACACTGACTCTCAGTGAGTGAAGAAATGATGTAGTATTAATAATAGTATTATTAAAAAAATGTTATAGTATAGTACTATTAATATTATGAATATTAATAGAGCATTTAATTTCAGAGCAGCATTCATAAATATTCTCACCATGAGAGGCCATCTGAAATAAGAAAAACAAACAATATTATTATATTTATATAATATTAATTAAGTATTAATATTAGTAATATTATGCTTTTTAAATTATTATATTATAAAGTTATATATATTATATTAATATTATATTATATAGAGTTACTACCCGAATTTACAGTTAAACAAAACATTTCAGTTGTATTTTCAGTGTTCACTTTTTTTTAATGAAGATCCCATCCAAGCATCTATAAAACAAATATAAATGGCAAAAAATAATTATGCTAAAATAAATTGAGAAGATTTAAATTAATAATACTTACTTTTACATTTATTTACAATTCTTCACAATTTTAATTAACAAATAATTTAGGAAATTTACTGGGAAATCCCTAAAAATTTATTAGGACAGATGTCCCAAAATAACCTTTAAAGTAAGCCTACTTGTCGAAATAAAAAAAGTATGACCAAATGTCCAACTGATTTAAGGATTATTTTCATCACGTACCAACAAGGACTTTGCACATACATTTTATTGCAAGAAAAATGATGGCGATTTAATTTTTTTTTTTTTTTTATTATTTTATTTTTTAGAATTATGCTTAACTACGACTGACTTGGCTTACTTTCCTTTTTTTTACACTTCAAACTCTTTGAGTCAGAAAAAATAACATCAAAACAACATGACATACATTCATTCCTTAATTATTTGGAAGTGATTTTGAAAAAAAAATGAGAATATTTTTGGTAAAACCTACAGTCAAAATACCCTTGAATTATACAGACTAAGCTGTTTTGAGTAAGATTTTATTATGTATAGTAAAGTTGCTTTCATCATACTAGCTTTATTTAATCCTACTTGATGTAAAATCATGTATTCTATCAGCTGTATGTGTGGTCACTTGTGTCGACGTCTCGTAATTATAACAGTCTCTTGGACCGAAGCTCAACAGCCGACAATACAAAGAACAACGCAACAATAGAAGGTCTGTCTTGTACGGTAGATGAGACTCGTACATCTTTTATGGTGACTCATAAAATTGCAGGATAACTCCTATTAAAACACTCGGATGTCTTTTAGCAAGCAAATCCTTTTAAATAATTAGCCATTAACTCTATTTTTATAAAATGTGTGTTTTGCTGGCAATCGTGTTTTTATGGATATATATATAAAATTGAAACTCACTTTTGATGCAATTTCTAATGTCTACATAAGTTAAAACTGTGTACAGGTATGCACCATCGATGGTAATACACTCATTTATGATTAGTAGGTTACCCGTGACTTCCAGTGAACCTTGAGTTACCAATGCCTGTCAAAGCTTTTCAATTTTTATCTACTCCCTGATCTTCAATTGATCTCAAAATGTGCACAGTTTGACTAAAAAGTACCGAAAGGACAACAATAACAAGAAAAAAACAACTAAAATAAATTTTAAATACAAAACAAACAAGATTTTCTAACTATTTACTAACAAGTATACAATATTTGTCCCCTTAAATTTTAGCATTTATACAGTCTTTTGACGTTCCTGTAGCAATTTGTTTTTACAGGTGAGGTAGCTTCCCTCACTGCAACCCTCCTCCTTTGCACCCGGGCTTGGGACCGGCCTTGGTTTCAAAACAGTTCTATTAAATGGTGCAGCAACTTGGAAAACAACAGTGAGCCTGATGCAGAAAGTGCAGACATTCATAAATGCATGTCCTAGAAAGATCCTGAAAACCAAATGGCAAAATGCTATCACCAACATAGATCTACTAGAAAGGACATACAAGATGCCCTTTGATAAAAATATCAGAAAGAAAAAGGGGAGGTGGATGGGGCATACGCTCCGAAAAAACCCCAGATAGCACCTCCAGACAATGCCTAACGTGGAACCCACAGGAAAAAAAAAGAGAGGAAGGCCTAAGCATACATGGAGATGCGAGTTAGAGACAGACACCCAATTGGACAGACACCAAGACAGAAGCAATTGCAAAGGAAAGCACAGGACCGTGATGAGTTGAAAATTTTTATTGAAGGCCTATGCCCCAGACGGGTTAGAAAGGCATAAGTAAGTAAATAAGTACAGTCTATTGATTAAAATAGCGAGGGACGTCTATGAACTAATTGCTTATTGTATAGGCTCAATTGAAGACCATGGAGGGGTCAAAATTGAGATGGAAGATTGAACCACACAAAAACTAACAAACGGACAGCTCAACCGAGGAAAAATCTTACGAAGCTATGCAACATTTTATTTCAAATACATTTTTTAATCAAAGAAACTACTTCTCGCCTTGATGAAAGTTGGTTGTATTTAGTACAATTGGGGAAGGATGCATTTGAACTTGCCATTCGTTTATTTGCAAATTTGTTATTTGAAGGTAAACAATAGTGGGAATTACCCTGCTTGCATCGTTTTTACTGAACCGTTTCGTAAGTGTTGGTGAGTTCTTCGAACTGATTCTTTAGTTATAGAATTATCTTAATTGAAACTGTTAGTGTTTTTTTGTTTTTTTTCATGTCATTTTTTTTTTGTATTAGCATTTAGCATTTTTTCTTATTAAATAACTACTTATTTACCTCTCTTAATACTCCTAATTATTTCCTGCTAGAGAAAATAAACTAGTCTAACTTTTATTATAATTTGTGATTTTTTTATCAACTTTTAGGTGGTCATCCATTATGACGTCAGGCATCAGTGGCGTGGTCAATATTTTACGACTAACTATTATAAAGTTGTCTAAATTATTGACTAACGTTAACAATGAGGGCAAGGGGCGGTCCAAGATCAGTCAAAACAAAGTATTTTCATTAATGGATGGTTATATACTTAGTTTATCACAGCTCAATAAAAAAAATGTGTAGTATAGCTTTGCTTTCAATTGTCAGTTTTAGAAATATTATAAGGCGGCATTATTTTCGTTTTCTCTGTCATTTTGCATGTTAATATTCAAGATATTTTTAAACTTGACAAGTGGTTGAAAAGTAAATAGTAGTATGTTTATATTTTACCAAAGATCATTTAAAATAAATTAATTATTTGCAGTTCGCAGGCAATGGCGAAGATAGGGTTAGTGTCACCCGAAATGAGCCTAGTTTTTTTTGTTTTTTTACCGCCCTCTTCATCGAAGCAGCCTGCATGCACGTTTTAAATAATTTTTCACTGATCTGCTCCTCTGGTCACTGTTTTCTAAGTGCACGTGCACCAACACTAAAAATTTACAAATTTATTAAAAAAAACCGTCTACTAAATGACCCGGTAATATTTTGTGCAGGAATGTTTACTTAAAAACATTGATTCCACGTCTTTTTGCATTAGATGGCCTTTAACAATTTGTTAAGATATTTGGATTAAACTAATCGTATAGGCTTTTAACGTGAGGACATAATGTATACTATTTAAGTGAGAAGATAGACTGAGATTTGATTCACTGCAATATGTGAGTGTGTGTGTGTGGGGGGGGGGTAGAGAGAAAATTGGTGTTGTGGTTTGAGATATTTAAAATAACTTTCAATGTAAGTAATCTGAATGTGATTGTTGAGGTGGGTCAGGTTACTGCAATGTGTTAAAATAAACTAATTCAATATGTATTTCATACGTCATATATGTTCATCGTATGATGCATGGCCCATTTATGTGTTTTTAAATAAAAATTAAGATATAAATGGTATTTGTTAAGAAAGTCAAATAAATTCAGGTTAAAAGGGGGACATTATGGATAATCAATGTTTTCCTGAAAGTCAATTACCCGCATTCCCGCATATAATTAATGGAGCAAAGCAAAGAGGACCTCATAAACAAATTATGGCGCAACAGATAATGGGATATTTGTTTTCAAACCATACACGCGTTTAATTTCATTTTTTAAACGCTTTCCTTAAATAGTGTAAATAAAAAATACAGACAAGCGGATTTTGTTTTGTATTACATTAGAAAATTTCGGAGGTTAACCAGTGACCAGTGTTATGTACCAAACGAATTTTGTTCGTGTTTTTTAAATTATATTTTTTTGTTGTTGTCGAAGGAGATTGAGTTGTACACACTTGACTTTACTGGCACACATCAAACTAAATGATATGTTAATCGCATTTAAAATGTTATTTTTCATTACGGGGATTTTCGATATAACTTTCAGCCAAAAGATTTGAAGGCAGGTAAAAGTAAAGAATCTTTATTCGTATATCAATGTTTTACTCACTTGAATATTAAAATATACATTCTTAAAGTTACAATATCTCACTATTGTACAATAAATTATTAGCTTATATTTTATTTTCATTTAAACAGCTAAATTTCCTGAATTATTAGATTTGTTTATATTCTCTCAAAGACTTCTACAGTTTATCTCCCTTGAATCGAACATTCCTTTTTTTTTATTTTTTCATTTTTTTTTTTTAATTTGATCTTTCGAAGGTAATGTGTAATAACTTTCAGAAAAGAAAATAATAAAACGCAATTATGGGAAATAAAAATGTATAAAAAATAAATTGAAATACATATATATATATGGCATCCTTCCGTCTTCGTGACCTGTTTCCCAACACAGACAGAGGAGCTCATGTAAGGGCTGAAGTAGGATAGGTTTTCCATTTTTTAGGATTTCCGCTGGGATGCCATCGATCCCTGGAGCATTCCCATCCGCAAGGTAAT